AAAGGTCAGGGGAAGGGGATCCCAGGAGATCACTCATTGACATCTATACTGAGCAGCCACTCTGGCCACTCACTATCTGAGACACTGGAGTTGGAACCAAAAACCAAATAGAGCAAAAGCCTGCTCAGATGGAGCTCTGAGTGAAGAGCAGAACAAGGGTGGGCCCAGGCCCATAGTAGGGTAAAAGAGCAGGAGCAAAAGGCCAGGCCTCTAGCAGAGCACCCTAAGGGCCCTAAGGGATAAAGGGAACATGCAGCAAGGTGCCTGCTGTCCCAGGAGGAGCAAGGAGCAGGAACCTCTTAGCGAAGGCCATTGGCTCCACCTGAGAAATGCTGGGCAAGGACTAGAAGCCTTCCTCTTGGTCTTCACTTCTCACTCACACCAAGAGCCTCCCACTGCACACACATGTCCTGTAGTTGCTAGGTCTGGCTGAGCTTACTTAAATCAGGGAGTTCCAGGCCCTACCCCCAGAGTCTCACTCAGAAGGTCTGAGCAGAAGCCTGTGACAAGGTGTGTTAAGATTTTTAAGCCAACTAAATAAAGGGCAAAAATGCAACTGACACTTAACCAAAGAAAATCTATGCATGGCAGGTTAGCATATGAAAAGATGCCCAACATCACTGTCAGCAGGGAAATGCAAATTATCAACCTGTAAGAGACTACTCTACGCTCATAAAAAATAGCTATTAATATAAAAACTGACAATACCAAGTGTTGATAAGGATGTGGAGCAACTGGAACTCTCATACATTGTCAGTAGGAATGCAAAATGGTAGAGCTACTTTGTAAGACATGTAAAACAATTTGGCAGTTTCCTATAAAGCTAAACAAACCCTTAGCATATAACCCAGCAACTCCACACACACATTCTCACTAAGATCTGTACATGAAGGTTTATAGCAAATCTATTTTGTAATGGACATAAACCGAAAAGCACCCAAGTATCCCTCACTAGTGAATGGACAGGTACACTGCAGTATGGCCATACACTGGAATGCCACCAAGCAATAAAAGAAAACTGCTGGTACGTGTAACAACATAGATGGCTGTCAAAACTGTTCTGCTAAGTAAAAGCAGCCACACACAGACGTCTACAGTTACATGACTCCATTTATATGATATTCCATAACAAGACAAAACTCTAGAAACAGAAAGAAGGCCAGGAGCTACCAGGGCAAGAGACAGAAAGAAGGCCAGGAGCTGCAGGGGCAAGGGACCAGGAAAAGACTGACAGCAGAGGGGCATGAGACATGGGTCAGGGTGAGGGAAACATCTACACATTATGCTCCCAGATAAGTGGTCAAAATGTATCTAGCCATACTCTTATTGCAGGTATAGTTTATTGTGCGTAAATTAGACCTCGATAAAGCTGACAGAAGGAGAGAGAGGGACACAGGGAGTTTCAAGAAACCTGCCAGAGCAGACTAGCCATTGCTGTTGAATGAGTAACTTAATGTAGGTGTAGACGGGGGAAATGTTTATGGCAGAAATCTCCCTTCCTGAGTAATCAGAAGCCCACACTTTAGTGGAACATAAAGGTGACTTGTTCCCACACAGCTAAGTACAACTGCAGCCCTGAGCTAGGTTAGCAGGACAGAAGCAAAAGCACAACATCCAACTTCTAAGGCACACACCTAAAGGGAGAGGCATGCCCTGCTTATCTCTGCTAGTAGAATGCAAATGTGATGAAAGGTGCCAGCACAGTCCACTCACGCCGTGAGGTTAGTGCCAGGCACAGAGGAGCAACCCACTCACTGACAATGAACAAGTACCAGAGACATGAGACTCTCCTGTCTACGAAGCCATTATTGCTATGGATTTGCTGTCACTTGCAGATATATCTAAGTTTAACCTCTTCAATGCCAGAAATCATAACTCAGTTTTGCTACCGGCCAACACATGGCCAACATTTCAATGTCTCCTACAGCCCCTGGCTCATCATTTAATCTGCCCCCCCACACACACCCATCACGCCCAGCAGCCTGTGGGAGCTGCGCCTCCCCACCAGGGGCCTGGCAGCCCTTCGGCTCGTTTCGCCCTGCTGAGTTGGGACCTGGAGACCTTCCACACCTCTGGGGGAATGCACAGGAGCTGAGCCTGACTCACTGCCAGTGTAAGGTGTTCCAAACCAAGGGGATCGAGGTTCAAGAACATCACAGACAGAAGGACTAATTGTCACCACCTGGGGTTACTCTGGATCCATACTTTGAAACCACAAGGCCTGAGAGGTCAGCTCTACCAGGGAAGTGGCGAATGATATACACACACCAAAATAAAATTTAAAAAAGGACCCTATTTTCCACCCCAGAAAAAAGTTATTAGTAAAAAGGAGGTTATAATACATCTCATTTTCTAGACACAATGAGTACAACTATTGAAAAGGACAATCAAAGAACAGCATCTAGAAGGAAGATTACTGTTGAAAACTAATTTTCTTTTTGTGTTCTGTAATCTATAAATACTTTTGCTTTAACAATTCTGGATTTTTTTTTTAACTGATTCACTGCACAGACAAGGGATGGTCAAATTTGAAAAGGGCATTTACTAGAGCAATCAAGATGCAAAACAAACTATGTCAAACGATAAGAAAATTCAACTTTAAAGAGAGACCATTTACTATAACAACAAAAAATATGATAACTAACAATAAATCTAACAGAATATATACATTTCTCTTTCATGGAGGACATTTTCAAGCTTCATTATGGAATTGTAAATGGCCTGAAAAGATTGAGAGCTAGTATGCTCATGACTACAAAGACTCAGTTTCATTAAGATATCAGTTCTCTCAAACCAATCTATAGACTCCATGCAATTCCATTCGTAAATCAATACCTTACAAACAAGAAATGAGGGATCAGACGTGGCGCAGTGGCAAGGCAACCATACCCACGTGGGAAGGTCCTCCGTCAGTGTGCTGAGAGCTCCTTCTACATGCTGGTGCACACATGTGTGCTCCAGATCCAGGCTGGATGAGGCTGACTCTGGGTGGCAGAATGAGGGCCCTGCTAGGGGTGCTCCCTCTTTCTTTCTCTCTCTCTCTCTCTCTCAGAAAAAAATGAATTGTTTTTAAAAGTCATTATTATAAAAACAAAACAAAAAACGGTGGCAATCTGATTCTGATACTTACGTAGAAAGCAAAGAGTAAGACCATCCGATCAATTTCTAAGAAGAAGGCAGCAGTGTGAACTGCCCCTACCCAATAGCAAAACACTACAAAGCTGAATTTGGTTTTTTGGTTTTTTTTGGTTTTTTGGGGTTTTTTTGAGAGATTTTTGCTACAGGGTGTGTGCACTCACTAGAAAGCCAGAGAGAGACAGAGAGACAGAAAGCAAGAAATCCCCCCCCAGGGGGGATGGCCACGCCGCAATCCCTTCTCCATTCTCCTCTCAGGATCTTGGGCGCACTCACACACACACACGAGCCCAGCATGAGTTTAAGCCACCAGGTCCAGTACTCGAACGGCAGTGGGAGTCCAGTGACATAACCATTACGCCAACTGCTGGTCCCCAAAGCTGAATTAGTTTTTGATACTGCTATAAAGGAGAGAAACAAGCCAGAGCAAGAAGATACTAGCAGTGTATAAACTGACAAAGAATTACAATCCCAAATGTGTAAAGATCAGAAACCAATGGAAAATCTGGCCAATAACCCAGAAGAAAATGGGCAAAAGACAGATATGAGAATTCCCCTAAAAACAGAACGCCAAATCACCAGGGGAAAAAAGATGAAAAAGACTGAACTAGCAGGAAGTAGCAATGTGAGTCCCAGGAAGGAGCTCCCATCCCTGTGGTGCGTCCTGCGGCAGCAGAAGCCCTTCAGGAAGCATGCCGACATGACCTTGAAAGTTGAATGGGCACAGGCCGACACACTACTCTGCTCCTTCCAAACCACCCTAGGGACAGTCTTGCTGTGGACACCTGCTTCCTGCATGGCCACCATCTGTACATGATGGTTCCAGGCAACGCGACTCCAATGGCCGAACACCAGAAAAAGCCCAAATGTCCATCAAGGGGACAAAGGCTGAAGGAAGTGTGGGCTATTCAAATAGCAAACTACCGTAAGCTATCACAGAACAGAATCACTGCATCTTGGAAAACAGTGTAGAAAGTAAAATATCAAGTTGCAGAGACTGGACTACACGAGCTCCAAAAGATGCACAAGTAAACAATATGTTATTCTCTTAGTCTCACATGACAGGTATAAAATCATCAAGTGCCATGAACATCAAGTCGGAAGAGAAATCATGCATCTTCTGGGGCAGGAGGTTGCAAGAGAGAGTGGGACACAGAACCAGCCTGGATCAGGTACGAGTTCATAGTCGAGCATATAGTGGTTGACGCTGGTGGGTATGAGTTCTGAAATTCAGTGGTGGCCCAGGAGTGGACACTACATACACACATACAAGGAAGATCACATATATGCTTTCTACACGGGGACTTCAGAAAGTTCATAGAAAATGCACATTATAAAAAAATAAGTAGATTTCAAAATTATTTGTATCAAAATAAACTCATGCTATAATTCCGTTTTCCACAAACGTTTTGAAGTCCCCTGTATGCATGAATATTACACAATAAAAACATTTCAGGTCAGCTGGTATGTGGTGGTTAAGGTAGCTAGATCCCATAAGGCACAGTTCTAGTCATGAGCCCAGCAGCTTGAAAAAGACCAGGTACATGTCCATGCATACCCCAAACCCTGAAAGGGAAGAGAAATGCAAAAGGTCTGCAATGTGGTTATCCCCCATGGGGGATGCTTTCTCTCTATCTCAGTTTCTCTCTGTCACACAAGTCCTCTGGCATTTTTTTTTTTTTAATTTCCAGAACAATCGGCGATTCCTTTGGCAATCTTCCACAAGGGCCAAGCTCACCAAAAACTGGCCACCCACCATGGCTCTGGGTAAAGCAGCTCATCGGTGCTGCTTGCTGAGACAGAGAGCCTCAGTCACCCCCAACAGAACAGCCCCCCAACGGGGCCTTCCAGGTCAGCACTCTTACCTCGGTCACTTTGGGTTGAAGTATTAATGCTTCAGGGCTCATCCGAGGGATGTCTATGTGGATCTGGAGATGCCAGAGAAAAACACATTTCTTTTACAGCACGGCAAACATCGTTGCAAGCGTTATAATATAATAGAAACAGTGATCGTTCATGAGGAACTCACTCCGTCCCTTAACCTGCTCCCTCTCAGAAGACACTTCACTCTGCTACCAGGTTATCTGCCAAAGAGGGTGCCCGAGAGCACAAATGAGGTTCACCCAGTCCAGGACAACTGGCTGGCCTGACACTTCTAACAGGTGGTCAGCTGCATGACTAGGAGTGGAGCGGGCCCTCGGCTATTCAGTAACATAATCCATAGCAATTAGTAAACATTGATTTTTCAGCCTCCGACATGGAGAGCAATACAAGAGCATCGACAGTGTACAAGTTTTCAGCTCTGGCAGCTTCTTCTAGAGCTCGGGCCAATTCTCCCCCACTTCACAGAGCCCTTGGGGAGCACAGGACGCATTCAAAGGAAGCATCTGCATGCCTGCAGTGTCAGCTGCTTGCTACATGGCTACCGTCTGACCTGAGAGCCATGACAGGTTCCGGGCTGCAGACCCGCACACTGGGACTCAGGAAGCATCCAACCCCGACCAGGAATGTTCAGCTCTGAGTGGGTATCACAGGCCAGCTCCCAGTGGCCTCGTGGACCCCTCCAGACCCCCACACCATCGTCACTTACTCGTCCAGGACCACGACCCAACAGGGACTCTGTGGCCTGTTCACTTCGCTTGATCCTTGCCTGTCCCCAGAGGACTCTCACCTCCAGGACACGGCCCCTTGCCAGTACTGTGGCCTTGGGTCCATCACTTAAGCTCTGTGGCCAGCTTCCCCATGCACAAAATGCCTGCTCCATGTCCTCCGAGGGGCTACTAGTGCAGAAACAAGGAGCGCCATGGGTCATCAGCCCACCGGAGTAAGCCGAGAGCCCTGCAGGCCACAGTGCTGACCAGAAGGGGAGGTGGGCTTGGACTCCCACCAGCCACATGCAGGAGCCAGGTGCAGGCAGGGACGAGGGCTGCCAGGTCGATCACTGGGGAGCCCCAGCAGCCAACCTCGAGCACGGCTCCAACATAGTTTCACTCGTGTGGCCCACATCCACCTCTGGAGTGAGCTACAGGAGGTTCCCTGCTCAACCAGGGCTAGTACCGCCCTCCTTATAGAAGAGCTGACGGTCCCAAGCTGATTATGGGGACAGGCCAGCACATGCACCACAGCCACACCTTCTGTCAGGCCCATGCTCAAGAGAGGGCTCCGAGGGTTAGGTAGTTAGGGCTCAGTGCCTCCCCTCCCACCCAGCATTCTGAGCTTCCGTGTATCACGAAGAGAGTAAGAATTAGAGTCCTCAGAGGACAAGTCGAGCTGCAGACCCCGGAGGCGCAGTGAGCTGTAAACTGCTCTCTCCACTGCGTACATCACCTGTCGACAGACTAGTCAAGAATTGTCACTGAGGCCATTTGACTGGTGCACCTGCGCCATGGACTGGCCCCCAGCCACGTGGGCCGCCTCCACTGCCTGCACCACATCTCGAGCTGCATGAGGGTCCGTGCCCATGGAGCCCGGGCGCCTCCATCAGCTAGGTCAAACAGGTCATCCCCGGTCTTCAGGAACAGCCCTTTCCCTCTCAGACAACAGCTCAATAGGACACAAAACAGCCACCACCACTGAGGCACATCACAGGGCACTGCTCATGGAATCAGTGTATCTGTTTTGTGAACAGTTAAAAATGCCCTCTCTGGGACCAGAAGGTGGCACGGTGGTTAAGGCACTGGACACTCCCACATGGCTTGCCACGGTTCAAGACCCGAGCCTGGTGGGTTGCTTTCCCACTTTCTATCATCAAATTAAAATGAATGAATGAATAAAAATTAAATAAATATATCTTTTTAAAAATGCCCTTTTTACTCTAACAAAGGGAACTGGAGACAAGCAAGGTATTCCTACGAAAGGCAGTCTGCCATTATTCGCTCTCGAATTTCTTTACCTACAGAAAATAAAATCCGCGAACCAATCAGGGGCAATCTAAATAAAACCCTCCTCCTACAAATCACCACCAGGTATTTCAAGTGAGCCTGGCGATGGGAAAGGGCCCTCACCTGCCTGTACGTATCCTGGTGAGCCTCGTCGTTCCTAGAATGGTAATAGTGTTCGATGAAGGCAAAATACTCCTCCTGTTTTCTCTGCAGCGTGGCCGGTCTTCGGTCGACATTGGCAGGGAGATAGCCCTGGTGAGGAAAGGACAAAGACGCACGTGGTCACTGCTCACCATGGTCTCCGCTCAAGTCTGAAGTGAAATGCTCACATCGTCAAGGCCCTGGTGCTCTGAGATCCGACACGGGGGAGCAAGAGTTGTGGAAAGAGAAACAGATATAAGAAATCACTACCTGGCCCGCACGATGGCACCACAGATGGACCTGGCCCGTGCGTGCCACCCAACGGCACCGCAGACAGATCTGGGTCTAAGGGCTCGGAGGCGTCCCTGACTGGGCCGTTGTCACCCCCGCTGACTGGAGATTGGCGGGCATCCCAGCATCAGCTGGTGTTCAAGGCTTTCCCAGTGCAGGACTGAGAGATGGAAACAGCCCTTCTCTAAATGCCTAATGCACCAGGAAGGGGTGGGAAGTCCATGCAGCACACACACAGGAACATATATACATGCATGCATATGTGTGTATGATGTACACACACACATATACATGCATGTGTGTGTGTGGACAACACAGTCACACATGCAAAGACTCACAGGGCTTTCGCAGCTGCAGTGTCAATGTACAGAACACTCAAATCCAGACAGCCCCAGGCACCAGTGGTACCAGACAGGGGTGACTAGGAAGGGCCAGACCCCAGGGCCAGGCTACCATGCTGTTTTGTATGTCTTTTATTTCAATGTTTTTACTTTTACTTTTTTTTTTTTTTTTTTTTAATTTTGAGAGTTTTTAGGGCACATGCACTCACCAGAGAGACAAAAAGCGAGAATCACCCACCAGGAGGGCTGGCAAGGCTGTAATCCCTTCTCTTCCACTCTCCTCTCAGGATTTTGGGCATGCATACACACGTGCCCAATGTGCATTTCAAGCTGCCAGACCTGGGCCTTGAACTGTGGTTGGCCATGTGGGAGTTCAGTGCCTTAACCATTATGCGAACTGCTGACCCTCTTTGTTCTCACTTTGTAAATTATCATCATTGACATATAATCTCTAAAATAGCTAAGCAGTCCCATGAGACTGGACAAGGGCACCCAGCTGTGTAACTGCCAGCCGGCCACCGCCCGGGGTGTCGCATGCCCTGTCTTCCTTTCTACCTGCCCACTCTGGCCCCAGGAGGTGTCCATCTCCCCACTCTGGATGACGGGGTCTATCCTAGAAGGTCCCAGAGACGGACTCCCTCAGGAGCCACGCTTCTGTGCAAGGCTTCTTTGACCTGGGACAGTGTCTTCTGAGATCCCTCCAAGCATGCGTGAACTGGCAGCTCCTGCCTGTCGTTGCCAGGCAGTGGTCTACCATATGGATAGCCCAGTCCAGTAGGCCCTCCGTGTGCCGACAAGCACCTGAGTGGTCCCCAGTGTGGGGATGTTATGAATAAAGTTTATTATACGTATCCTCGAGTAAGGTTTTCATGGACATACATTTTGATGTAGTATGGTTAAACCCCTGCAAGCACAGCTACTGGGTCAGGGTGCAGGTGTATGTTGTTTTCTAAGAAACTACCAGCTCAAAGAAGTTACATAATTTTACATTCCAAACAACCATGTTGGAGAATTTCAAACTTTCCACACTTTCTCTAACACCCAGTACTGTGCCATTCTGCTAAATATGGTTTGTTTTCACTTCATTCCCCTAATGACTGATGATGTTTGACACCTTTTTGTATAGCTGTTGTATCTCTTCTTTGGTGAAGTATCTGTTCGCATCTTTTTTAAGTTTTTAATTGACTGATCTATTGATAGACAGCATTCCCAATAGGGTCTTGATGTAGGGATTCACTTCCCACCCGCCTCCAGTCCTAGATCACGGGCAAGCAGGTGCCCAGCAACTCACAGAGGTCTCCACACTCAAATGGGGACCTTCCTGTGTGGGACTGCCGTGCAGAGCACCATATTCCACCACTGTGTCACCATCTAGTCCCCTATTCAAATCTTTTGCCCACCTTTGAATCAAGTAGATGTCTTATTACTGAGCTTTATGAGTTCTGTATATATTCTAGATACAAATCTCTTTCTCAAACATATGTCCTGTGATTATATTCTCTTCTCTATGACTTGCCTTTTTATGTCTCAAACCATGTAAGTTTCAAGCTGTAGTGGTGGACCAGCAGTTGGCGTAATGGCTGAACTCCCATGTAGTCCACTGCGGTTCGAGTCCCAAACCCGGTGGCTTAAACTCACACCAGGTGCATGTGCGTGCATGCCCAAGATCCCAAGAGGAGAATGGAGAAGGGACTGTGGCGTGGCCATCCCCCCAGGGGGTGATTTCTTGCTTTCTGTCTCTCTGTTTCTTTCTTTCTGGCAAGCACACGTGCCCTACAGCAAAAAACTCTCAAAAAAAGAAAAAAAAATAGAAGCTGTAGTGAAACGTACTGGTGATTTCCTCTTACAGTGAGTGCTCCCCGTGCCCCATGTAAGAAGGGCTCTCCCTGGAGAGCTCCTTCTCATCCCTCAAGTGCCTTCCCATAAGTCACTTCTTCAGTGAGGCCTGATGGGTGCCCAGGGTGGGGCCAGCCACTCAGAGCTCCAGCAGCATCTGGCCCTGCACTGTGCCAGCCACATGCCACCCAGCTCCTCTTCCAGTCCTAGATCACGGGCAAGCAGGTGCCCAGCAACTCACAGAGGTCTCCACACTCAAATGGGGACCTTCCTGTGTGGGACTGCCGTGCAGAGCACCATATTCCACCACTGTGTCACCATCTAGTCCCCTATTCAAATCTTTTGCCCACCTTTGAATCAAGTAGATGTCTTATTACTGAGCTTTATGAGTTCTGTATATATTCTAGATACAAATCTCTTTCTCAAACATATGTCCTGTGATTATATTCTCTTCTCTATGACTTGCCTTTTTATGTCTCAAACCATGTAAGTTTCAAGCTGTAGTGGTGGACCAGCAGTTGGCGTAATGGCTGAACTCCCATGTAGTCCACTGCGGTTCGAGTCCCAAACCCGGTGGCTTAAACTCACACCAGGTGCATGTGCGTGCATGCCCAAGATCCCAAGAGGAGAATGGAGAAGGGACTGTGGCGTGGCCATCCCCCCAGGGGGTGATTTCTTGCTTTCTGTCTCTCTGTTTCTTTCTTTCTGGCAAGCACACGTGCCCTACAGCAAAAAACTCTCAAAAAAAGAAAAAAAAATAGAAGCTGTAGTGAAACGTACTGGTGATTTCCTCTTACAGTGAGTGCTCCCCGTGCCCCATGTAAGAAGGGCTCTCCCTGGAGAGCTCCTTCTCATCCCTCAAGTGCCTTCCCATAAGTCACTTCTTCAGTGAGGCCTGATGGGTGCCCAGGGTGGGGCCAGCCACTCAGAGCTCCAGCAGCATCTGGCCCTGCACTGTGCCAGCCACATGCCACACAGCTCCTCTGGGGGAACTCACACGTGCGTGAGTGAGTGGATAAAAGAGCAAATACGTCCCAAATATGGTTCTTTTTGTCTTTGTGAGGACTTCTACATCTGTGGTAAGTATCACTGACCTAGCTGCTCAACTTCTACTCCGTCCATTTATTAGAACCGTGCCCTCGGGAGGCGCTGGGGTCATGTCTATGTCAATCTACATGGTCCAGGTGAGAGTCCTCTCCCCTCAGGACAGGTATTGACTGAACTAAGTTGTGCCATCCCACTAGCTACAGTGACTAACAGGTTCAGGGACAGGAAGGTGAACCCGTGTAAGCATGGAATCCAGGCCCAGGCTTTTCTTGGCTGTTGCTGTGGATTAAGGTGCACAGTCTGGAGCTGTGGCAGCCAGCATGTGACCACAATGGAGGACCATGAGCTGTAGGTCCACAGAGAAAAGCTGACCTGAATAAAAGCAGAACTCAGTCTCTAGTCCTTGATGATCAAGCCAGAACCAGAATTCAGCCACATCTTTTTATTCATGTTAGTACACACATTCACACGGGCGTATACACACACATATACACCCATGTGTGCACTGCACAGAAAAAACTATGCATGGATTTCAAAATGTGTGTACCAAAATAAACTCATACTGACTTATTAAAAAATGTATGAATAGAAACTAGCTTGAGGCACCAAGAAAATGCCCCTCTGAGAACAACATGCACTCCGCTAAAATTAAAGCAAGAATAAATATTAAACACATGTGAAGTATGGGTGGAAGAGCAGTATAATCATTCATGGCTAATGAAAAGCTTATGGGGGCCAGCAGGTGGCATAGTGGTTAAGGGTGCTGGACTCTCACATGGCCGACCGCAGTTTGGATCCTGGACCTGGGGCTTGCTTTCTCACTTCTCCCCAGCCCTATCTCTCTCTGTCTTTCTCTGGTCAAATTAAAATAAGAAAATAAATAAATTTACATAATTCTTAATTTAAAAAAGCTTGTGGGGACAATGCCCCAAAGAAATGAGCAATTTATAACTGGATAACTCACCTTAGACAGGGAGACGATGAGAGGAAGCCTACAGCAGCAGACCACCGTACCTACCTATGAGGGAGAAGCTAATCGTGTCTGCGCCCTAACTGAAGAGGGTCAACGACGAACCGCAGAAACAGTCAATACCGCCTGCATCTCAGCTGGCTACCTTACACAACTCTGACGGAGAAATTAAAGTTGAACAAACTTTCCACCCGAGGGGTGCCAAACTCATGCACGCAGAACAGCCACAGATGAACAGAGACTTTGGAAGGTATTGTAAACACGTGAGAAGAAGATTCTGGCCATCCCCAGGGGGGATGGTCACGCCACAATCCCTTTTCCTCCATTCTCCTCTCGGGATCTTGGGCATGCACGTACAGGCGCCTGGCGTAAGTTTTAAGCCACCAGGTCCAGGACGAGAACCACAGTCAACTATGTGGGAGTCCAGCGACATAGCCATTACGCTAACTGCTGGTTCCCAATTTTGCAAGAATTTCAGTGGCAAATCATTAGGCATATATTATACCTCACAGTCCTAATTTGTCTTCTTCTCACTTATTTTTGTTTCCTCTTCCTACAAAATCTTGAAAGGGCACACATTTTTCTTCAGTTAATAATGTTAAAAAGACTGTATTGGCATGGTTAAA